GAAAGCTTTCTTTTTCTTTCATTTTTTTTCCTCTTTTGTCTCAACCTAAGTGCGCTGTTGACAATTGGGATTATTGATTATTCGTGGAATTTAGTTAAACTCTTGGGTAGTTGGACTTCATGATCAACTAGAAAATAAAGAAAATAGAGGAGGGATTTTGAAGGGATCCATTTGAAGAATTTGAAGCAAAAAGAAAGAAGAAGAAGCTGAATTCAGCTTCTTCTTTTTTTCTTTTTTGGCTTGCATTAGCTTTTCTAAATTAGGCTTTACACTCAAATCTCAAGATGCATCTTGTGAATTGCGAAAGGTGATCTGTATTGTATGTTGTTGGTTTATCATAAGTGAATCATTTTGTAGTTTGAGTTATCATCAACTAATTAAATATGCAGAGTGAGGGAAAGAAAGATGCTGAGAGGTGGTGGATGAGAATACGTCCAATTTGACTTCTACATTCGGGAACTGAAAGCGGTACCATGCACCCACAACAGTCTTTAGCTTCATCAAATCAAGCAACACCACATCCAAAGCAGGAGAGAAGCCTTCCAGGTTTTAAAAGAAAGTAGTTTTTTTTTTTTCCTAATTGATTCCCTCCTAGTTAATTGACTTCTCCAAATCTGGGTTTTCTAATTTTTTCCCCTTTTCTGATATGGTTTTGGAATTTGAATCAGACCCTGATGCAGAAGTAATAGCTTTATCTCCTAAAACACTGTTGGGCATCAACAAATTCGTATGTGGGATCTGCAACAAAGGGTTTCAATGGCAACAGATTCTGAATGTTCATAGAAGAAAGCATAATCTGCCATGGAAGCTAGAGCCAAGTACAAACAAAGAGGTGAAGAAGAAGGTGTATGTATGTCCAGAATCTAAATGTGTGCACCATGATCCGTCAAGGGCTTTTGAAGAATTCACTGCGATAAAGGAGCACTTCTGCAGAAAGCACGCTGAGGAGAAGTGGAAGTGTGAGAAATGCTCAAAACGGTATGCCGTTCAATCAGAATGGAAAGTTCACTCCAAGACTTGTGGCACCACCAAAAAGCACAGATGTGACTGTGGAACCGTTTTCTCCGGGTAACACAAAAATCTTATTTTCAATTAATGCGCGAAAAAAAATAAAATTTAGTGCTGGTAACGAGGCCCCAAGAAAAATCAAGATCACGTTTATTTTTTGTAGAAAGGTTTTTGGTTCACGGTTTTTCAAACAAAGGTAAATATGCAATCGGCCAGAGAACCAATTGCCTATAAACCTTTAAAATCACCTAAATCTTAAATATCTGTACCTATTCAATTCAAACAAAAAGGGAAATAGAGGGTGAGAAAATACAAACGAATTAAAATAAGAGAGTTAAAGCTGAAGGGTAAGTATTACATACAGTCTCAACTCTTTTTCATTAATATTATATATTGTTTTAATTTTTCATTTAGACCATAAATGGTCCTACTGTTTTTAAAATTACCATATCTAACCTTATCTTTAGTCATTTGCATTAAGTTTGTAACAAAAATCTTAATTAAAATTTTTGGGAGCCAACAAGACCCTTAAACAGAAAAAAAAAAAAAAAAATTGTTAAACCATTCTTTTTTATTTCCCTAATTTTTTTATCATTGCTGGACCATTTTTTTCCTTTTGCAAACTCCAAATATCATGTTCCCGTTTTTCCCTCTTAACACAAAGCATATGTTTCAATCTTAGAAAATTTTGTTAACTATCACTGCTATAACTTAATAGTTTCACAAAACAATAAATTTCATAATCTAAATAGTCTTTAGTTATAATTTATTTGTCATCTAAATTATTACTTTATAAAATATATAAAAAAAATATAAAAAAATTTATCTTAAATTATAAGATTGTAACTCATAATATATATACATAAATCCTTATTTTTAAAGCAAAAATAACTAGAATTCTCCAAACATTTTTCAATAAAAGCTTACACTAGTCAATAAAGTGCATATCCACCATCAATAAGGTGCCAAAATTCATCCAACCAAAAAGCAATACCCCTTTCCATAAAATAACATCAAAATACGCATATTCATCGTGCGGTAGGAAGAGTTTCTTCAAAAAATCAGAACTCAGAATCACTAAATTGAGTTAAGATATTAATTTAAAGAATTCAAAATTTAGCAAAAATAAATTTAAGGTAATAAAATTTTTTGAAAAAATTATGTAAAAATTTTCATGGGTCTCTCAAAATTTCAATTAGGATTTTTATAAAAAACTTAACTAAAGTAATCATCGGTAGGATTAGGTTTGGTAATTTTGAAGAGGTTAGGAATATTTTCGGTTCAAATGAAATGTTGACAC